CCCCGGCCCCCAGCCTCATTCAGGCATCTAGAGAGCTCAGTGGCAGGAGCCACACCGGGGGTCCTACTGAAGACGCCTATGGACTCAAAAAGCTCCAGTTCCTCAGCAGCCAGCCAGGCAGGCAGGAAGACAGTGGGACAGGGAAAGGCAGGACCTACTCTCACCCACAGGCTGGAGGCCATTGGCCAACGTGAGATGGGCCCAAGACTCTGAGGTCTCCCCAAGGATGCTTTTAGTACCTGAGGTCTGGTATCACCCCTGACTTCCTGGAGGCTGGAGTAACCCTCTCTGGGAAACGTGCCATCTTGCCTTTGGGGCTGGCCCTCTTTACTGCTGGGTGGTGGAGCTGACAGAATTTCCTAGCACGCAGGCACCCAGTGTCCGGTGCTGGTCCCACAAGCAGCCCCAGAGCCTCAAATGTTGCCAAATGCTGTTTATTGGTCTGTTACACTGAAGAGTATAGTTTCTGGGCCAAAAAACATACGCACTCCGTTCATCACAAAACCACTGAGTCACTAAGGCAGGCACACGGCGGCCTCCCGTGCTTGGTGGAGGCCAAGGACTCACAGACGACAGGGGTGGGCAGTGGGGCAGGCTGGCCCCAACAGACTGTGCAGCGCCCTGGACGGGTTGGCTGGGAACACTGTGCTGGATGCAGGGTGCTGGCCGCCTGGTTTCTCAAGTGCATGACATCTGCCAGACTTGACTGACTGCTGGACAGGCCCTAGCTGGGCGAGGCCTCCAGATCCAAGAGCAAGGCCTCACCTGCACGCAATGGGGGGATGGGGAGAAGGAATGGCAGAACAAGCAGCATGCCTAGGCCTGGGGGCAGGAGCTGTGCCCTTCCTGTACCTGGGAGTGCAGCTCCTCCAGGGGGGTTTCGGGCCCCTAGGCTTCATGGCATCCTGAGAAGCACGTGGAAGGTAGAGCTAGCCTTGATCTCACCAGGGGCAACAGGATACCCAGGCGCCACCTCAGTCCTAGGGACTCAGCAGATGCCTGGGAGAGGTGATGGGCTGCCCCAGTGCTCCAAGGCCTGGCCCTGAGCACCTTCCTACAGTCACTCTGGATTCCTCTCAAGGGCAGGCGCTCCCACTGCATCTCAGATCATCCAACTGCAAGAGTGTCACTGACACATGGTTTTCAGGGATGTATCGAATGCATAAAGCAAGGGCAGGGTGGTGAGAGTAAGACTGTACAGATACAGGGGGATGCGCTGCACGGGCCGGGGAGCATGGGGCACCTAGGTGCCCAAAGGCAGTGGCAGTGCTGCTGAGTTGGGCCGTCCCACCCCAGGCCACATCTGACCGCCCTGAATCTCAGGGAGGTCCTGGGACAGCTCGGGTATCCTGCACCCAGGATACATGCCCCAGCTGGGGCTGGCGCACACACCTGCCCTGGGGCTGCAGAGGGACTCTCGGAAGAGATATAGCACAGAGCCTCCCGCCCCGCACAGCCCTTGCTAGGCAGGGCCCAGGCCACTGTGGCCCCTACTAACCCTACAGGGCCCTGGGGAACTGGAGAGTGGCAATGGAACAGTCCGCGTTGAGGCTACAGGTGGCTGCAGCTGGAGTGGGGCTATTCCCAGTTGTTGGAGAGGGGAGCAGAGTTAAGTGTCCCCCAAGGTGGCTGCTCCCTGAGGCCAAGCCCTCCCACCCCGACCCTGCTCTGAGGGCATCCTGGCCCCCGACTTGCCCTGCAGACCAGCACTGCCCAGAGTCAGGTCCCAGACTCACAATCACTTTGTTAGGAACATGGTTGGGCAGGCAGTGGCTGGGCCCGGGGCAGGCCGGACTGCGATGCCCCTGCGCCTCTCCCTGCTGGAGCGCAGGGGCCCGGTGCCCAAGCTCTGCATGGCTGTTGCCTCCTGGCTGCAGCTCACTTGTTCTCTATGAGCATCTGCACCTTGTGGACCAGGTCCCGGGCAATGCGCAGGATCTCCTGGGCGTCGTGACGCTCGGCCCGCTCTGGAGGGGTACACAGATAATTGGGGGGAGATCAGGAGGGAGGACAAGGGCTGGAAAGAGCCTTGTGGTTGACCACCCTGCTCTGTTTCTATCTGCTGAATTCCTGACATCCTGCCTGTAGGGAAGGGGCCCCAGTTTTCCAGAGGACCTTCTAACTGCCTGGCCCGGCTGGGAGCGCGGAAGATGGCTGGCCCAATTCGTACCGTTGAAGAACTTGATGATGTCAGTGAAGTCCATGTTGTTGTCGCGGATAATCTCTCGATAGGCCTCCACGAGGGCCAGGGCAATGAACAAGACAAAGTGCTCTGAAGAGATGTGCCTGGCCGCCCAGATCACCTCCCACACGGCAAACACGTCCTCATACAGCAGCTCTGGGGATGGAGGGGGCCGGGGTCAAAGCTGAGCCTGCTGGCCTGATCACTCTGGGCCTCTGAAGGCACTTGCTGGGGAGTCAGTGCTCCAGGGGCCACAGTTCTGAGACTGTCCCCATTACACACAGCTGGTTCAAGAGTGGGGGTTGCAGACCCCACACCAAGACCCCAGCCTTCTCTCTGGTAATTCCTGTAAACAGAGTTCCTGTAGAATCCACCTACACACCATTCACCAGGGCAATTCTACCTCCAAGAGCCTGACATCCTGACGCTCAAGGAAGATGTGGTTTAGAAAAAGTTCTGAAAAAGATTACCTATGGGGGTGGTGGTTAGTGCTGGCTGCGCTTGGGAACCCCTTGAGGAGCTCCCGAGGGCCCGTATGCCCAGGCCTGAGGAAGCCTAGGGCTCCAGTGGATTTTAAAAGTTCCTGGGCAGGAACCAGAAGATAACATAATGGTTATGCCACTGAATACCTATGTAGTCAACCATGGTTTGACTCCCAGACCTGACGGCTTAAAATTCATGCTGGGCATGTGTGCATGCGTGAGAGGAGAGTGGAGGAGAAGGAACTGCAGAGTAGTCATCTCCCCTTGGGGGTGATCTCTTGCTTGCTGTCTCTCTGTCTCTCTCTGGTGAGTTCACATGCCCTATAGCAAGAATCTCTCAAAAAGTGAAAAAAAAAAAAGCTCTGGGGTTGCTGAGAAGCACTGCCTGAAGAAAGAGGAATCTTTGCCCCTGAACCCAGCCCCACACCCAACCCACTTCTCACCTCTCTTAAAATCCAGCAGGAACCAGCGGTAACAGAAGTAGAAGTGGGTGTAGTCTCCATTCTGGTGCATCAGCTCGAACAGCTCTGAGTCCAGGATCTACAAAGAGGAAAGGGAGGGACCAGCAGTTAGCGTAATGGCTATGTCGCTGGACTCCCATGTAGCTGACTGTGGTTCGCGTCCTTGACCCGGTGGTTTAAAACTCATGCCGGGCGCATGTGCTTGCATGCCCAAGATCCCGAGAGGAGAATGGAGGAGAAGGGATTGCGGCGTGGCCATACCCCCTGGGGTGTGATTTCTCGCTTTCTGTCTCTCTGTCTCTCTCTGCCTGTCTGGTGAGCACAAGCGCCCTATAGCGAAAACCTCTCCAAAAAAAAAGAGAGAGGAAAGGGAGAGAGACTGAGCACAGGCAGCCTCTCTGCACCTTGTCCCTCCACACTCCCCGCCAGGGCAGCCTGGCTTCCCTGCTGTGGGGGCAGCTGCACTCTCCCTTGGGGCTCCCTTGGGTGGGGTCGCACGCTGCTGCCCCACCTGTCTCCCCACAGCTCGCCAGAACTCCTGTGAGCGGGAGTATGTGCGCGCACACTCCTCCTCCATTTGTAAAATTGAGACCAGGCTTTTACAATGAAAGGAAGCCAGCTTCTCTGTAAAGGACAGCTTCAACTGCTCCCTGGCCTCTCTGCCTGTCAGGTGCCTGTGGTGACTGCAGACCTCACCTGGATGAGGGAGCGCATGTTGGCAAAGTGGGTGTCCATGGCGCCCCCATTGGGGAAGTTCTGGCTCATCCTCTTCATGAGGTGGCTGAAGCAGCTGTAGGCCAGCTGATCTGAGGGGATACAGGGGTGAGGCTGGGAGGGCGAGAAAGCCTGGTGGGCAAGGCTGGCCTTCTTCCTTTCGTTTCTCCAGCATATGTATGCCAGCCCAATGTGACCACCACTCGGGGGACACCCACGCCCCGTCCCTCACCATTGTCGAGGACGACCAGGAGCGGTGCCAGCAGATCACACATGCCCTGCACATAGCCCACGTCCAGGTGCTCCCACACGTAGCTGAAATGCCGGACAGTCACTGTGGCTGTGCTCCATCTGGCCCCTGCCTCGGGGTCCCTGGGGAGACGGCCTCTGGAGCCCCTAGAATCAGCCTTTCCACAACCCCAAGCACTTACTGTGCACCCCAAAGTGGAAGACAGTGCGGAACAACCCGCAGCCCATCTCAAAACACTCAGGAACTCAGGGCAGTATCAAGGGGCCATCACAGCGGTGTGTGGGGCACGGGAGGGAAATCAGGGAAGGCTTCCTGGGGAAAGGGCTCTAAGAGGAAAGGGAAGTGGGGAGAGGGTGTGACGGTGCAGGAGAGCGGGGAGCACCCTGGGCAGTCCGCCCTGCCCGCTGTGGCACCTGCACATGATGTCTCTGAGCCGCTCCAGGTTAGGGGGCGTGAAGTACCAGTAGTTGCGGTCACACCTTTGCACGTCCTTGTCTATGCGGTGCAGGTTTAAGGCCACGGTGTCCAGTAATTCTATCTGGAAGAGTGGAGGGCCCTCAGGAGTGAGACTGCTCAGGCCCTCCCAGGTCGGGGGGCAGGAGGCCGTGCCCAAAGGCAAAGGGAACCTGGGGAGCTCAGAGAAGAGGCCTCCGGGGGTGCTGGGAGACAGGCTGAGTGCTCCCCTACAGGACAGTCAGGCACCCCACCTTCCGCCCTGCCCACCCCTCCCCATGCTCTGGGAGGTCAGGAGGGCCAGGGCTGGCTGAGAAAGATGCTGGAAGGTCCACGTACAGTGTAGGCGGCAGCACACACGGCCGCAAGCTCCTCCCCTGCCTGCAGCTCACTGGCTCCAGAAACCTCCCGGCTGGGCCCTCCGGGGGCCGGGCGAAA